GAAAAATTATTTGAATCCAAAGACTTATCATTATTTTAAAGTTGATATTTAATTTATAAAAATATATATTTAATTATTCAAGTGATAAATCCGAAACAGTTGGTGAAAAATTTTAATATTCAGTACGTACTATTTCAATAGTTAAATCAACACATATACTAATACTGTATTGACTACTTTGGTTTAACATCCCGTAGTTAATGCTGTTATTTTTCTTTCAAATAGCCACCAAACTTAAATCCTGTCGTTATTTGTGCTTTTTATGTGTTTTTAACCACCAATGTTAAAATCCCGTGGTTAATGGTCTAAAATTTTGGGTGGGTGTCTATCTAAAAAAAAATTGAGCAGTTGAATGATCCGTTGCGATTTAGTAGTATTGGATCTTAAATTAAGGTTATTTATCCCATAGATAAGGTCTTTAAACTCATGAAACTCATTTCCCCCTCACCATATACGGTAAATAATGTCAAATTGTTCAAAAAAAAAAAAAATTGAGCGGTTAATTTTTGCCAATTTTTTGGAAAAAATAAAAATAAATATTTTATTAGGAGTGAAAAAGGAAGACCATTGGATCTGGGCTCAGAAGAATAAGATCCACCCTTCACATTCATTCATAGAAACCATCGACCTCTCTCCCCTTAGCATCCTCTTTGAAACCCTAGTCTGTACACCATCAAACTCAAACCCATCATCTCGTCCTCCCCTCTCTCAAATTGGATTCCCAAAACCACCCCATCTCCCAAATTGGATTTATAAAACCACTTTTACTCTGGCATATTTGAACCTGAAACCACTATCCAAGCCTCCAGGTTGCAGTCGTTGATGCGATCGAATGAGTTGCAACACTGCGCTTAAAGAGTGAAAAATCAAGGATGGGTTCTCAATTTTTATGTTTCTTTCTTTGGATTCTGAGGCTGATCGGTGAAAACCCATTGGTAAAGGACCAGATTTTGCTCCTCAATCAACTTTCGACCCTCCTCGATCCCTAGTTCATCTCGCCGGCAACTCTAGTAATTTGGCATTCTCTCTTACCTTCATCATTTCATTTCTCAAATTTTCATCTTTTACTTTGCAAATTTTTTTTTATTAATTTCATGTTTTTCTGTTTACCATTATTAATGAAAATTTACTTTTTGCTTCTCTTTTTTTCTTTTGTTGGCCATTGGTATTGTTATAGGCTGCTATTATCCTGTTTAGTTTGTAATTGTTATTCCAGTGGTATCCTGATATGCAGTTGGAAAATGTGTTGTGGTTGCAGGACTAGATGCTTGTCTGGCAATCGGATTTCTCTAGAAGTTACTCGACTATCTATTTAGTGAGTAGATATGTTTTCTAGCAAGTGCTTGATCTGTTTATTTGTCTTCCAACCTATGCGGTATTAGCATATTGTTTTGATTGTTTTGTTATTAAGTTAATTTTGTGTGTTTTTCTATATTGGTGAATGGAGGAAGTGTCAATGTTTATTGTAAGGTTTGAGAACCCTTTCACTCTCTATCAATAAAATTACTTTTGCTGAAAGAAAGTGTATTGTTTTGCTTAATTTTCTTTACTTGAATTAATTTTATTTCCTATTAAACACATTCTTTTTGTCATAATTTTCTTTGCAGTTTATACTTCTATATAAGAATATCTCTGTTTCATAGGAAATACTAACGAAGTATTTTACTCCTTGGTTGGAGTTTGATTCCTCACTTGCCTTCACTTAATTTCAGCTATAAGGGACTCTGTTCTCATTCTGTTTCAAGTGATTTTTGTCCTCTTTTTTTTAGTAGAAACATCAAGTCTTAGCAGTGAATGCACTCTTAGGAGTATAGCACAGGCCTATGGTTTATGGTCTAAGGTATGTCTGTCCTCTTATCTTTTAGTTTTGATTCTCTTACATAGGCTATTATATTCCGTAGGCAATTTTTGTGCTCTATTTCCATGCAAAATGTCTTTATTTGGTGGGTACTAGAATGCTTGTCGTCCTTGTTTACTTAGTAGATTGAAAGTATTCTATGTTTATGTTGTAGTTTGGAGGAATTGATTCTATTGAAAAATTAGAATTCTTTTAGTTGTTTTCCTTTCATTTATTTAAGCATATTGTTTTTTGAATTTGTAAGTCTATTAATAAATTATGGAAAAGGTGGATTATAGACATAAAGAATTACTATTCCTATTTTTGTATTTTTTCTTCTTGATTTGTGGAAGATAAGAATAAGGGAGAATTAATTTTGCTTATGCATTTTACATCTACTTGATGCTGTAAGCTAAGGTACTAATTTTATTGTGTTGTGTTAGGCATAGTTATCAAAGATGGTTCTTGATGTCAATATATCTCGCATGGATTCACATAATATTTTAGGTTTTTAAATCCGACATTTCTACTTTGCTTTATGTCATTGGATCATTTTAATGGTTTACTGATATCACTGATTTCTATTTTTCCTTGAATTCAAGCTAGTGCAAATGTTAATGTTAAGTTGTGCATGGAAATTTGCGGCAATCAAGGTAATTTAGACTAGTTAGGTTGTTCTATTTGTTTATACAATTTTTTTCAGTTAAAGATATATTGTGAGTAGGAAATCATTTTATTTATAGGAGTTGGATTGGTTGAAAATACTAGCAATAAGAACAGGGTAGGTAGCAAAACGCAGGTAGATTTATTGTCTTAGTGCCCTGAATTGAATTGTTGCTAAAACCTGTATATGTTATCCTTTGTTTCCTATTTGTCATCTCTTTGATTAGGTTCTCTTGAAAATCTGTTATTTGAAGCTTCGTTAAAACCTTGTGAAGTAACCATTATAAAGCTTGGTTAAGATGCAACCAACAAGACATCATCCATGAATAGAATTCTGCATAAATTGGTTTCGTATTGAATTTTGATAGTTGGATGTGATTATAATTACCTCTTATTGGAAATCTTTTAAAGCAGGTGAAAAGATCGAGACTTGGAAATGAGCATATATATAGCCAAGATTTGGTATCTCTGGTTAAGGCAGAATTTCAACTAGAGACCTTGTATTTTTTGATAGTCTTGGATGGTAAATTAAACTCTTGTATTTGAAGATCCATTTGTTGATATTATGGAAAATTATCGTTTATAATGTTATTGTCAAATTTATTCTTTCTAGCTATTTAATTAAGGTTTGTCTTTTAATTTCTCATTAAATAATCTACAACATAAATATTAGTGACTAGTAACCACCATATCTAGAACTAATAGATTGGTGGTTATTTGCATTTTTTATTTAAAGGTTGTTTAATAGTTAACAACAAGATTACTATTATTATAAATTATTTTTAACCAACAACGACAGGCAATCACGGTCATTATAAACAAATAAATTGGTAGTTATTTGTTAGTTATTTTGAAAATTATTTGACATATCGACAGGATTACTCTCGTTATAACCTAATTTAATGGACATAGAGATGATAATTTAATGATAGGATGCGTGTTACTTCAGTAACGGGTAAAATGACCCTATCATTGAAAACTTTTAACCACCAAGCATATAACGATGGGCCACGACGGGACATCTTGTCGTTGTTTACCTTTCAACTACCAAAATATGGGGTTTTAATGATGGTATATACTCTCGTTAAAAGCTAAATTTGTTGTAGTGATATTTGGCCTCAATTATGGAAAGGGCAACACTATTTTGCTTTTTGCAAAACCATGATATAAGAAAATTACCAAAAAATTGATAAGTTTTACTTGTATTTTTTTTATTAATCCTATAACCTACATCTGAATATGAACGCAAGTCCAAGGAAGAACCCTTAAGATACCATAAACCAATGTTGGGAGTATCTCTTAGGTACCTAAAGACTCTTTTAATTGCAACTATGTGAGACTCCTTAGGACAAGCTTGAAATTTAGCACATAAACAAACACTAAACCTTATATTCGATCTACTTGTAGTTAAATAAAGTAAGAAACTAATCATGCTTCTGTAAAGCTTGGGATCAATAGGCTTACCTTCTTCATCCTTGTCAAGATTAATTAAAGTGCTCATAAGAGTAGCTATTAGCTTACCAAGCTCTATGCCAAATTTCTTAAGCACCTCCTTTGTGTATTTTCTTTGGTTGATGAAGATGCTCTCTTTAGATTGTTTGATTAGAAGTCCCAAGAAGAAGTTAAGCTCACCTATCATGCTCATCTAAAATTCACCTTGCATAGTCTTGGAAAACTCTTGACAAAGAGAATTAATAGTAGCATCAAATACAATATCATCAAAATAAATTTGGACAATTAGTATGTCTTGGCCTTTGTTTTTGACAAACAAAGTAGTATCAATTCTTCCTCTAACAAAACCATTTGCAAGCAAAAAACTACTCAATTTTTCATACTAAGCTCTAGGAGCTTGTTTCAAACCATATAAAGCTTTTGAAAGATTATAAACATGGTTTGGCTAAAATGGATCTTCAAAACTGGGAGGATGTTTAACATAAACCTCTCTTGAATATAACCATTGGGAAAGCACTTTTAACATCCATTTGATAAAGTATAAAACCTTTAAAGCATGCAAAGGCCAATACATTCTAATTGCTTCAAGGCAAGCTACTAGGGCAAAAGTGTCATCAAAATCAATTCCTTTCTTTTGATAATAGCCCTTAACAACTAATCTTGCCTTATTTCTAACCACAATACCATTCTCATCTAACTTGTTTCTAAACACCCATTTAGTTCCTATGATGGGTTGGTCTTTAGGTTTAGAAACAAGATTCCAAACCCAATTAGGATCATTTAAACTATCATCAAGATTCCTTGGTTCAATTTGAGATATAAAAGCAACAAAAGCACAAGTATTATGAGCATGAGATCTAGTAGTTACCCCTTTTGATGGATCCCTAATGATTTCATTACCTTTGACATAGGATCTCTTTCTAGGAAAGTTAGTTCTCTTTGCTCATGTGTTTGTTGCACTTCTTCATTTTTATCCTCCTCATTTGTCTCATTTTGAACTTCCTTGGTGCTATTCTCCTTGAGATTCATATCTTTAATTTGTTCTCCAATAGCATCTGCATCATCATCATCCTCACAACACTTTTTAGAGCAAGTGAGGTTAGTCTCATCAAATATCACATGAATAGATTCCTCAACAACTTTAGTACTTTATTATATACATGACAAGCTTTATTAGAGGTGGAGTATCTAAGAAAGATGCTTCATCACTTTTAGAATCAAAATTTCCAGGAGAATCCTTGCCAATATTCAAAACAAAACATTTGCAACCAAAAGATCTAATGTGAGAAATCTAGGGTTTTCTTCCTTTGTA